AAAACTAATAAACCTAGAAAAGCCGAGATAATGTTTCCTAATTGACTTCAAGATTTTCTTTAAGTCGTAGTTTTCAAGCTAAAATAATATCAGCATGAGGGTAGACAAATAAGTCAAGGGTACAAATAGAAAGTTCGGAAACAGGCTGGTGTTTGTATTGTAAAATGCTTTTTGAATATTTTCATTACTTTTGGGTAGGCAAATATTTCTCAGATAGTACACTAAAGTCAGTAATCATAAAAGAAAAATGATAGATTAGACTTAATCAAAGTAAAAATTTCTCCCCATCAAAAGACATGGTTAAGAAGATTAAAGGCAAGACACAGATTGGGAAAAAATATTCACAATACATAAATCAGACAAAAAAATCTGTCTATAATGTATTACACACTCCTACCCACCAATAAGTAAAAAACAACTCAGTAATACAAATGGGCTAAAGACTTGAACAGACACTTCACAGAATAAAATATATAAACTGCCAATAATCACATGAAAATGTGCTTGACATCATTAGTTATTGAAGAAATACAAATTAAAACTAAAATGAGATCACATTACGNTGATTTATTCCTATTTTCTACAATATCTCTGTTTCTCCTGGGGTAACTTTTTTCCTTTTTTCCATGTTATTCTTTCTTTCTAATATCAGAGTATTTCTTCAAATGTATATTGATCTGTGGTTATCTGTTCCTACTTACAAGAAAGTTCTGGAAATCAATCAATGTGATTCACCAAATTAAAGAATAAAAAAGGAAAATTATATGAATATCTCAGCAGATGCTTTTGATAAAATTCAACATCTATTCATGGTAAAACTCTCAGCAAAATAGGAATATGTAGGAACCATCTTAGTCTGTTAAAACAACAGCAACAACAACAACATATATATGTACAGCAAACACCATACTCAGTGGTGACACTGAAAATTTTTTCCCTAAAATTGCAAAGAAGGCAAGGAAGTCCCTTCTCACCACTTCTCCTCAACATTGTATTTAAACTTCTAATCAGTGCAATAAATACCTAATTGATGGAACAGTAAAACAGTCTGTTTGCCAATGATATGATTATTTTCTACAAAATCCAAAGGAATCTATAAATACTTTACTAGAACTAATACATGAATTTAGCAATGTCATAAATACATGATTAATAGTTTTCAAATCAATTCTATTTCTATACAATAGTAACAAGCAATTTAAAAAGCAATACTGTTTAAGGTAGCACCAAAAAGAATAAAATAACTAGGAATAAATTCAGTGAAAGGTGTATACAGCTTCTATACTGAAAACTATAAACAGTGCTAGGCAAACTGAAGAAAATTAAATAAATGGAAAGATAAACAATGTTAACCAATTGGCAGCTCAATATTGTTA